TGTGGGGTTGTTAACCAATGTCATAAAACAGCATGTGTGTTACTGTTACATGAGAAACTATCTGTTCTGTAAGCCTTCACCTGAAGTACAATAAAATATTAAAAAAAAAAAAATTGGCCAGTGAAAACCTTATAGACAGCATAGGTCTAGAACCCCAAATTACCTGGGATTTACTCTTAAGATTGCGCTTGACACTTTGAAGCAGACCAAAATAAAATGCTCTCCACACAAGTATATGGAAATTTCTTTAAAACTCCACTTCAGGGGAAGACACTGGAGAAGGTACACACTCGAGTCTCCTGTACCTTCTTCATCCTTGGCCGTCACCACTGATCTCCACAGTTATGAGTCTGAGGTCTGGCAAGTTGTTGGTCATGCAGCAAAATTGAAACCATGCCCAGGGTGGCATGCTTATTAACATGGAAAAGTGCTCAGGCGCATTTTTAACAATCATAATGAAAATGATTATTATTAACTATCAACTTTCCAGTGAAATCAGATAGCCTTTCTGCCAGCATTCTGTGTAACAGGTTTTCACTGGAGTTCCTAGCAAACTAAAACCAAAGCAGTTGCCGTCCCAGTCTGACTCATGGCAACCCCATGTGTGTCAGAGTAGAACTGTTCCATCAGGTTTTCAATGGCTGTGATCTTCCAGGCTTTCTTTTGAGACTTACCTGGCTGGACTTGATCCTCTAACCTTTAGGTTAATAGCCAGGTGCTTACCCGTTGTGCCACCCAAGGACTCTTAGGGTTCCTAGCATTGGCATTAAAAATGTTACAGAAAAAAAAAATTGATATTGGAGAACTGGGCATAGCCATTTTTAAAGTATACATGTAAAGTATGAGGAAGAGGTTTTGAGTCATTCTTTGAAAAAGAACGCAATGTGATATTTACCATACCACAGCATATCCTAGACTCTGTGCTCCCTCTTGTTTTACTAAAGAAGCAAATGTCTCCTTCTCGTGGAATTTAGAAAGGGAAGCATGTGGCTTATTGCTTTGGAATGAGGAGCCCTAGCCACCCATCAGCTGCTGCTCTGGTCCAGCTTCCATCATCACCAATGGTCTCTGGCTTTGGGTGCACTCTGTTGCGGACTTAGGGACCCCTTGGTGGCACAAATGGCTTGCTCTCGGCTACTACACCGAACGGTTGGCAGTTTGAGTCTACCCAGAGGTGCCTTGGAAGAAAGGTCTGGCAATCTACTTCTGTAAGATCACAGCCATTGAAAACCCTAGGGAGCAGTTCTACTCTGAAACACCTGGGGTTGCTTCTGACTCGGCCACGAAGGGTTTGGTGTTTGGTTATTGTGGGCTTTACAACTTGATTCTCATCCTGAGAGCGGGGGCTACATCTCTGCACATCCGGTCAAATGAATAAACTGCCACTTGTGAGATAAATGATAGGTGTGTCTCTGCTCAGGTGAAAGCAGAATTCAACCCGGATTTCCAAGGCTGAGATGAAATAGTCTTGCTATTGGGTGCCATGGCGCGGGGAAGAGGGGAGTGCAGAAACAGACCCGAGCTTCTGGGCCTGCCACTGCTAACCCACCATCTGGGTCACCTTGGAGAACGTCTCTCACCGTTTCCTCGTCTATAAAATGGGAGGGCGGGCTGGCTCATCACTAACGGCTCATCCGCTCTGACGTTCTCTACTTCTAAATATAAGATTATTTTATATTTGTTTCCCCCCTGTAATCTGGCAGTATAAATGAGAACATAAAACAATTAAGCCTCTCCCTGTGTGGGTGGACAGTTTGGATTGTATACCCCTCTTTGCATATTTCTTCCCACAAGTTTCCCATGACTAATCAAAAAAATGGCCAGCCCTTCCCCTATTTTCCCGCTGACATTCAGAGAAGCTACATTTTCCATTCTCACCTCTTAGGACTGTTGCTTTTCTCCCTCCTCCCACCCCTGCCCCCTTTTTTTCTTAACATTCACGTGGTACAAAATTCAGACGATATGGAAGGATATGCAGGGCAGACATCTCTTAGCTCCATCTCCGGGTCACGCTGTTCTCACTGCCAGCAGCTAAGACTGTGTGTGTTCAAGCAAGTATGTATATGTGTTTTCCTTTTTAAAACACCCAAATGATACTTCGGAACCTTGCTCTAAAAAAAAACAGAAAAAAAAAAAAGAAAACCAAAACCTAACTTTGGAGATCATTCCATTATTCGTACATGACGTGAAGTTCTTCCCCTTTTTTACACATACTAGAAGCCTGGGTGGCACAAGTGGTTTGTGATTGGCTGTTAACCTAAAGGTTGGCGGTTCAAACCCACCCAGTGGCTCCATGGAAGAAAGACCTGGCGAATTGCTTCTGTAAAGATTACAGCCAAGAAGACCCTATGGAGTAGTTCTGCTCTGTAACACATGGGATCACCATGAGTCGGAATCGACTTGAAGACAATGGGTTTTTGGTTTTATAGTACTCCATGAGTGGACGTTTGTTTTCTATATTCTGCTATGACAAACAATGCTGAGCTGAAAAGCTTCTGCACACATTGTTTTTGCGCGAATTTGGGTCTCTCTGTAGAAGAAAATCCTAGGAGTGGAACCGCAGGGACAGAGGGCAGGTGCATTTATACTTTTGATTGAGTTATACTTTCTGATTGCCTGATGGCCTCCATAGAGGTTACTTCCACTAGCAGTAAAACAGAGCACACTACAGTATTTTTTGTGACTCTGGAAGGTTAAAAATAGAGTATAATTTCGCTTTGCATTTCTTTTGCTATGAGTGAGAATTTACTTATTGATGAACTGTCTATGTTGTTTGCTCCTGTCTCTAATGGATTGTTAGCCTTGTTTCTAGTTGGTTGTCCGTTGCTTTGAAAGAAAAATTCTACTTACAGAAATCTTCATTGATTGTTTGCTGTCAGTAGAATAAAGTCCACAGTCCTTAGACTGGCATTCATTGCTCTCCAGAGCCAGGACCCTATCGTTCTTTTCAACCTCATATCCCCATATCCAATACTCATGCCCATGTCTTAAACTCCCATTCTAGGTTCCTGCCAAACTAATCTGCTTGCTGTTTCCTAAATGTGCATGTGTTTTCCTGCCTCCTTGCCTCTGCTTCTGTTGTCCACACCTCTTGCAGTGCCTTTCTGTATAAACTTTAGAATCAGTTTGTCGGTATCCACAAAATAAGGTGGATTTTGACTGGGATTGTGTGGAATCTACAGATAAAATTGGAAAGAAGGGACATCTTAATATTAAGCCTTCCTATGCTTGAACACTGCAGTGCCTTTCCCTTTCCTCTCTACCTGAAAAACTTCTATTCATCCCTCAAAGCCCAACTGAAATGACTATTGCTTCCATAAAGCCAGTCCCAGAATTCCCCAGTTAGAATTACTCTCACCTGGTAAGAATAACTCTCACTGGCTCTCTTAGGGCTTGGTTATAGTTTTACTGGCTCACAAACCACATTTTGCCTTGTATCATCATGATTTATAAACACGATTCCTGATAACATACTCCACGTCTTGTCCACCTTTGCCTCCCCTGCAGCCAGGGGTGGATTAACCAGTAAGCAGGGTACTCATGGGCTTAACTGTGTTTACTTACTAATCTGTAGTGCATAATTTCACGTGGGTTTCACCACATCTTTGGTCATTGAGCAATCCATCCCTGCCTACAGCCCTAAGTAAGAATCGAAGAAAGGAGTCTACATTTCTTTCTTCTTTGTAGTCTACCAAAGTGACCTTTTTGCTATTGTGTTTGGGACACCTCAATCACAAACCCCTATTTAAAAGAGCTCTTAGCACGCATACATAACTGCCTCATGCTGAAAACAATTACATTGATTTCATGACCAAGCTTCCTGGATTTCTTCCGGAAGAAATGCCCACATTGAGAAAGCTTCATTATTTAAAGAACTAGGTAAATACACACACACCTAAAATCTTTCCTGGCACATGTAGCGTCATCCATGGTGGAAGAATCAGACAGCACAGTCCGTGGTCCAAGCTTGCCTGTGTTTGATTTGGGAACAGCAGAAACCTCCTGCTGGCCCGTCCGTCGTGCACGCTTTGCCCTGGCTCTGAAGTTATGGGAGAAAAAGAGGCCACGGTGGTATCCCTGTTATGTTCCCTCTGGGTGCACTTTGAACTTTTATCCCACACTTTGATTTGATAGCTTCTGGCCACCATTTGAAGACAGAACAATAGTTTAAAAGTATCTGAAGCTCCGTCATCTCTTTTTCAATCTAACGCAGGTTCAGCTGCTACTGGATTTGTTGTGAACTAGCTCTTCCATTTGGAAACCAACTCTGGAATTATAGCCAAGTAGCTTTAAAAGTTACATTTTAATCAGCAGATGCTACTGAGTCTGGGGAGAGCTCTTAATGTGGCCGAATCTTCATTTGTGGGTGTTGGTTTTGACATCATTTGTCTTCCACATTCATTGCTTTACATAGATTGATATTTTTTATCCAAGGAAAATAATGATTCATGTATCTTGAATTATGATTTTACACCTTTCTTATTTATTTCTTTTTCTTTTCCATTTCAGAATTTTGTACCGTCTTTGGGCAGGCAGACTTCCTTGACTACGTCAGTGATACCCAAAGCTGAGCAGAGCATGGCTTACAAAGACTTTATTTATTTTACTGTCTTTGAAGGAAATGTTCGCAATGTCTCCGAAGTCTCGGTTGAATATTTATGCTCTAAGCCATGTGTTGTCAATTTGGAAGCGATTGTTTCATCTGAGTTCAGAAGTAGCATTCCTGTGTACAAAAAAAGGTGGAAGAACGAGAAACATCTTCACACCAGCAGGACACAAATAGTGCATGTGAAATTTCCAAGCATCATGGTTTACAGAGATGATTATTTCATCAGAAATTCTATTTCGGTATCCGTGGTGATACTACGCGCCTGGATTACTCACAAATATAGTGGTGGCGACTTGAATGTTAAATGGGAGGAAAACTTGCTACATGCTGTAGCAAAGAATTACACTCTGCTGAAGACAGTCCCGCCTTTCGAACGCCCTTTCAAAGATCATCAAGTGTGCCTTGAGTGGAACATGGATTATATTTGGAACCTCTGGGCAAACAAGATTCCCCAGTGTCCTCTTGAAAATGGTAGGTCATTTGCCTTGCTAGGACCCTATGTAATTCTACTTTCTTCAGATGGCTGATATCATAATAGGATGACAGGGGAACATTCTTTTATTAGCAGCAGGAGAAACAAGGAACGTAGAGAGACTGCTCTCATAAGCCTCTCAGCTGTCTCGCATGGAGACTGTAATTCTGGACTTTGGGAACAAAAGGGTAAAAGTAAGAGGAAGGAGAAATGTTAGGAGAGAACAGGACCCAAGATGAAGGTGAGGGGCCATGAAGGGGCCATGGAAGGGAGGCCTCAAGAGGTTTAGAGCTGCTTTATGTTGGGGCCCTGGTGGCACAGTTGTTAAAAGCTTGGCTGCTAACCAAAAGGTCAGCAGTTCGAATCCACCAGCTGCTCCTTGGAAACCCTATGGGGCAGTTCTACTCTGTCCTATAGGGTCGCTATGAGTCGGAATCAACTCAACGGCAATGAGTTTGTTTGTTTTTTTGTTTATGTTGGGAAGAAGTATTAAAGATACTGAAATAAGAATTGGGAAAACCTTCCTTTTCTGTCTTGCTCCCAACTTCCCCTCAAAAGACCAACTCAAGTTTCAGTTATCTCTAAGCAGAGTATTTCATGGTTTCATCTTAGAGGAGTTGATAACTAGGAGAAGCCTCCCCATCAGCCAGGGAGGTAGCTTCACAGAGTGGCTGACATCATGGGCTTTTCAGCCAAGCCAACCTAGGCTCAACTCCTGGCTCTGTCTGTCTGTCACTTTGTAACTTTGTAACTTTCTGAGTCTCAGTTTTCTTTATCTGTAAAATGAGGATAATAAATAAGATTTTCCTCCTAGCATTGTTGTGAGAATTAAATGAGACGTAATTGCTTAGCACACAGTCATCACTCAGTAAAAAGTAGCCATGGTGATGACAGAGTCCAAACTCTGCATTCTGTCCTAACTGTCACGTGGTCACAATCTCCACAGGAGCCAATACCAGAGGCCTCCTTCCTCAGCCTCCCCTTAGTGGTGAGGTTGCAGAAATCTGGCTCCACATTTAGAAGTGGCGGTCTGAGCTTCTCTTCACTGATATGAAGAACACCTTACTATGTGGACAGGGAGCCAACCAGGGCGTGTTCCTGGGAACCCACCCAAGGTCTGTTAGCGTTTCCAAAAATGTGGCCTGTGTCTGAATCACCCAGGGCTCTTGTTGCAAATGCAAATTCCTAGGCCCCATTCTTTATCTACCCTGTCAGAATCTGTGGGAAAAGGGACCCTGGAATCAGCAGTTTAAGCAAGTTCCCCATGACTCTGATGCACCCTAAAGCTTAAGAACTTCTGGCAGGCTTGGCAAGTGGAGGAAATCTATGGGCCTGTAATAGCAGACTCTTCCAGGGGATGTGGCTGACACCTCCTGGTCTTCAACAGAACGGGTCTGGGGCAAGGACTAAAGGACACAGTGTTCTAAGTTCTTCCTCTGGTGATCAATTTCGTGTCACCCCTGGGATCTGATTTCTGTCAGGCCTTTTCTTTTTTTTTTATTGTACTTCAGGTGAAGGCTTACAGAACAAATAGTTTCTCATGAAACAGTAGTACGCATATTGTTTTATGACATTGGTTAACAAC